ATATATATGATCATCTTAATTAATCAGATCTTTGTTAAATTAAATCTGTAAGGAACAACAAATAGAGCAATAATAATGTAAAAACATTTTTCACCTCTCCAGTAAAAATAGCAGGTCACAAGGGAGTGACAAACATACAAAAGAAGTAGAGGAAAATGACAATAGTAAGGATCAGGAAAGAAAAAGCAGCAGTTCTGTGTTGTAGATCAGGCTCAATTATGAGCGTGACATGAGTCATCCCATTTATAATTCTACTATGCTTGAACGAGATATGTCCCCCCTTTGGGAATGGCCTAAAGACACTACAGTCAGTGGCACTGCCCCGGGGGGTGATCAATCTCTGCTGGTGGAATGTCAAACTGGGTGAGAATATAGGTGGCCGTCATCAGCAGATTGGAACTTTAAATGAATATTTCCTGGTTGGGTTCAAGTAGGCTTATAATTATCAGGACTAGCTTGTATAATAGTTTATTTTGATAATAATTTATAAGACATAGGATTAGATTTAGGCCTAACTTGTCATTTGGAAGACATCGTGGTAAAATCAGGCTCTCATTAAAATAATGAAATGGAAAAAAATGTCATTTTTTTGCCAGTTTGGCAATTTTTTTCCCCAACTCAACATCATGGCCATTTCAAAACACCTTTCTTTGTGGATTTTACTGAAAAATTAAATGTTGCTTAGGCCTTAAGCCTAAAGGTTCAAAACCATATACAGTCAAACCTGTGTAAAACAGCCATCCATTGTCAAGGAGAAAAGTGGCCGTATAAGACAGGTGGCTGTCTTAAGCAGGACTGATTAAAATGAAGAAAACAAACTATTCCCATCTGAGGCCCCAATCGAAAGTAGCCGCATTGTTGTTGTTTTTGTGTTGTTGTTGGTGGTGGTGGTGGTGGTGGTGGTTTGTATTTTGTTTGTAATTATTTGTTGCTGATTTTGCACAAGGGTGACAATAAAACGAAATGTATCAGACGAGGAAGACCGAGTGCCATGTTAAAACAAACACATGGGGTCGCCACCACTTGCATGTTGACGTCCTTTGTTACTTTGTTACAGACTGGGTAAACAGTGACCACTAATCTCACTTACGATTAGTGTAAGAGTTCTGGGCAGGGCTTATGGGTTATGAGGGATCACACGCTTACCTCACCAGCAGCTGAAAATTAGTAGCTATTGGTGAACAGTGGGAGGGGCTTATGCAACATGATCGGTTGGAGGGACTACCTAACAACAACGACAGGTGATTGAATTATGACGGCTCGCCCACAACGCCAGGGGCCAATGCACAATTTATGACAAAACGTAATGGAGTCACTAATGTGGCCGTCTAAGACAGGTATTTTTTAGTTTAGTTTTAGTCAGAGTTTTACGGCACTTGCAACACAATAAGGTCATATAAGTGCCGAAGATTAGAGGTGTTACAAGAGAGTAACAAACACAAAATAGGAGGAGGAGGAAAGATCAGGACGATAGACGTTTGATAGGAAAGAAGAAGCAAACCACACCAGAGCACCCGCCAACCACCCACTAAGACAGGTATTATTGCTTAGTGTGATAGGGGTTGTGTGTTAAAATATGGTGGCCGCGCCACGTTGGACAGGTGCCCGTTTCACACAGTTAAATTATATAGAAAAAACGCAAGGGAGGAAATGGAAAGTGGCCGTTTGTGCAGGTGGCCGTCTTATAGAGGTGGCCGTCAGGGCAGGTTTGACTGTATTTTCAGTTTTGAAGGCCTCTCCGGTAATATAAAGGTTACCAAACTTTGGCAGCCATTTACTTGCTTATTTTACCTCTGAAACCGGACGACCCCCACCTCCTTCAATCACAAGTCTTTTGACTTCTATTCAAAACAGATCCATATATGGGTATTTTTTTTAACCAAAAGTAAGGCAAATGGACAAGCATTTAAATTATAGCAATAACTCCACATGCACAAAAAATTGACGAGCGCCTGATTCCATAGCGTCATGACACTCGATCTTAACTCTACCCTTCATTTGTAGGCTAGGCTTACCTTGGATTTGAACTTTTGGATAAGATTTAAGATGGGGATTAGGGAATGAGAACAGTGACACTACTGAACCCCTGGGGTCTACAATATAATGTCAAGAGTGGGTCAGATATAGACGAGTCCACTAACACAGACATTTTAGACTGCTGTCCTGGCTAACAAGCCACAAGCTTAGCTGAAAATCAATGTTGACCCCAGGAACGCACACCCCCTGGCAACCAAGAGGTTAAAATATGGACATGCGCTGTTTTAATTTTAGCATAGTTTGTTAAACAGATGAGACTGAGGCGTCATAATTAATAACCAACGTTATTTTTAGTTTACAATAGTATCTCATTTCAGGCTGAAACAACTAAGTAAAGGCAACTAGTCCTCCACACTATTCCCCTGGGGATGGATTCATTGTCATTTGAAACTGAGTGGAGTCAGAATAATGGCAAATAATTTGCATGCATGTCATGTTAATAACTCTGTACAAGTCGAGGCAACAGATGGCTTTATGGTTTTCGCTTAAAATTACTGACATATTGTCAATCATTTTGTATTTCTCTTCTTATTTAAATTTATCATATCGTAACACAAATGTTATGTCTTTCTTTAATTCACAGCATGGTCGTTTAAAAGTAAAATCAACTGCTGAACAGTTGGAGGCAAAACGAAAAGAAAGAGAGAAGAAGCTACAAATTTACAACGCAGCAACGTCCAAGATCTTTGGAAAGGTTTGACAAACAAATTATATTTGTAATCAAGAAAACATCTGAAGCATTTGTCTCTGGGTTGATGTTCCGTGCTTTTGTTTCTCTCAGTCTTTGTAATGCTTTTTACGGTCTTTGTAATGCTGGGGAATGATGCTCATGTAAGAGCTCTGGCCAGGAGAGGTCAAATCTAATGACTGGAGACGTCTAGGTTGATGGTACTGTAGTCAGTGATAATTGTGTAAGAATAAAAAGGTGAGAATGTGGTTTTTAATTAAATTACCCTTTTCAGGGTCCCAAAAATTCTGTTGAGTATAATAGCGGGGGTTTCTACGAGTTGATAATTTTTTGTTTTGATATATATATATAAAATCCTGCTTCAGAAGCGAAAGGGAGAACTTGATGAAGAGTTGCTGACACTGACTGGAGAAGTTCTAGCTGTGAACCCGGATTTCTACTCACTGTGGAACTTCCGCAAAGAAACATTTCTGGAACTACAGAATACAAAGTGAGTGTCAAAACTGCCTGCTTGGTTTGTGTCTGGGGTGGGGGGGGGGGGGGGAGAGGTAGGAGGAGGAGGAGTGGGAAGTGACAGTTTTCACAAATGATTATCTTAGACAGGTGGCCATTAGAGCAGGTTCAGCTGTTTGTAAATTTATCACCCATGTTGTTTTATGTTCTTCTTCATCCTCTGGAGCTACATGACTCATCTCTTGTGGAGCCTCTCTCTTGCTCAACCAAAGTGTGCACGCACTCCTATTTTTAAGTAATACTTTCCTTCCTTGCATCTAATTCTGTCGGCCTGGTTTTGTCTTGGGGTGTTTGTTTGATTTTCTAAGCACTACTTTTAATTTTTCAGAATACAGCAACGTACATTCTAGCACGCACAAAACGAAACACTCGCATAATAAAACAGATTTTCAGCTCCTGTATTTTTTTCTTATACGTGATGCAGGTACATTCTTTGCATTTAAAACATGTGTACATAGCGAAATTAATACATAATGTAAAGATTTCCACATTTCACAGATTGAAAAATTGACTCATTTTCGTTGATGTGTTTTTCAGAGACAAAGATGCCCTCCAGAGTATGTTTCAGTCAGAGCTTCATTTCCTGGAATCCTGTCTGAAAATCAACCCCAAGTCATACGGGACCTGGCACCACCGATGTTTTGTGATGGACACGATGCCCGAGCCAGACTGGGGTCGTGAACTCCAGCTGTGTAATCAGTTCTTGCAGTACGACGAGAGGAATTGTAAGGCTTTTGTGTGTGTGTGTTGGGGGGGAGGGGGGGATATAACATGTGTTTGTGTAAGAGAGAGAGAGAGAGAGAGAGAGAGAGAGAGTGTATGTGAGTGTGTGTTTGAGAGAGAGTGTGTGTGTGTGTGTAAGTGTGAGAGAGTGTGTAAAAGAGAGACAGTGTGTGTGTGTAAGTGAAAGAGAGTGTGTGTAAAAGAGAGAGAGAGAGAGAGAGAGAGAGAGAGAGAGAGTGGGTGTATGTGTGTGTAAGAGAGAGAAGAGAGAGAGGGAGAGAGTGCATGTGTTTGTGTGTAAGTTGTGTGTGTGTGTTGGGGTGGGTGTGGGAGGAATATAATGTGTGTGTGTATGTGTGTGGGAGAGAGAGAGAGAGAGAGAGTGGGTGTGTGTGTAAAAGAGAGTGTGTGTGTGTAAGAGAGAGAGAGAGAGAGAGTGGGAGAGAGAGAGAGAGAGAGAGAGTGGGTGTGTGTGTAAAAGAGAGTGTGTGTGTGTAAGAGAGAGAGAGAGAGAGAGAGAGTATCCGTGTGTGTGTGTGTGTAAGAGAAAAAGAGAGTGTGCATGTATGTGTTGGTAAGTGTAAGAGAGAGAGAGTGTGTGTGTGCCAGAGTGAGAGAGAGAGAGAGATTGTGTGTGTGTTGTGAGAGAGAAAGAGTGTAACAGTTATGTACTTCACTGAGGCATGCAGGAGACTCGAGTTGGACTCCTGAGTGTGAACAAATTTTTATTGAGAATTTTGAATTTGCTTCTGGAATGTTGTATCCATTTTAATCCCGTTTTGCCATAACAGGCAGGATTGGAAGCCCTCCTCCTAAATGATCTAACTTATTTTGATGTGGGTGTAAAAACTCGTGCATTATTAAAAATTCGCCTTTTCATGCTGTGTGAATTATAATATATGTTTTTTTATTACTTCTTCTCTAATCAAAATTACTGGCAGTTATGTTTTCTGTTATTGTAGTTCACTGCTGGGACTATCGCCGCTATGTGGTGAGGAGAGCCAACGTTTCGCCCGAGTCAGAGTTCGAATACTCCATGAGTAAAATCAGCAACAACTTCTCCAACTACTCATCGTGGCATTATCGCAGCAAGCTCCTGCCCATTCTCTTCCCTGATCCTTCCCAGCCCATGGGAGTCAGTGAGAGTGCTCTCCTCAAAGGTCCGTTTTTTCACATGCTTTTTCATGTTTTTTCATATGGGCAGTTGGTGGTTGCTCAAGTGTGGTTTGCTCCTTCTTGCCTATCAAACATCTATCATCCTCATCTCTCCTCCCTCTTTTCTTTGTATTCACTCTCTGGTTACATTTTTGATCTTCTGTACTTATATGATCTAATTATGATGCAAGTGCCATGAAACTTTTATAGGAAACGAGTTGATAAGCAAAGTAAATTTTTTTTTTAAGCAGTCGTAAATCCAAAGTTTATATCTTTCAATTGATAAATTAATGTTCTGTTCCCAATTGATCAGAGAAAGCAATGCTACTGTAAATCTATTTTATCACAAGTCTGTTTTGTATTTGTGAATGAACTCAGCTTTACCCAGTTGTTCAGTGTGCTGAGCTGATATGAAAGCATAAATTTATAGTTTTCTAGTCATAAATAATTTTGGCAATTTTCATTGTATTTTTGTGGGTGGTTGGTGGGTGCTTTGGTGTGGTTTACTCCTTTTCTTTGTATGTTACTCTCTAGTGACACTTCTAATCTTCGGAATTTATATGACCTAATGGTAATGCAAGTGACGTAAAATTATTAATTAAGAAACTAAGATGTTATTTTTGCCATGTGGACTTTCAGAATATGAGCTGGTTCAGAATGGATTCTTCACCGATCCCGATGACCAAAGCAACTGGTTCTATCACCGATGGCTTATGGGCAGAGGTAGGCCGATGCCAACTTTGTCATTGAGAGACGCAGCCTTAGTTATGGAGTAGCCTATTTGTATTGTATATTGACTGCTTAGTGTAAGACTCCACCGTACACCATTTTGAAAAGGGACGTATAGCGGAGACTGTCACTGAGCCGTCGATATGTTTTTGAAAGGATTGTTGTATGATAGATGGGCCAATATGCATGATTTAAATCTTATATTATTGTGAACACCTGGAGCTACCTCAGGAGTAGGCACCATAGAAGTTAATACTATCGTCATTATCATTATTATGATCATATTTTCTCCTACAGCGTCAAGATTAGTTTTTAAGCGAAGTGGATGGTTGATGGACATTTGATATTAAGTTAAAGAAATATGGCAGTTATTACTGTAAGCCTTAACAATATCAAGATTTTAGCTGAAGAATCTTTTAAAAATTTGTCCTGATAGTGGAGTCAGTGCATTCCACTTTTAAAAAATTAAAACTTTTGTCTGTTTAATAATATGATGTCAGGACTGACATGACCAAAAACTACCATAGTTGTGCATAGTTGTCTGCGTGTCAGTGAACATAAATGTAATGAGTAACGTGTGTATTGCTGTGTTTGTGCTGAATCTTTGTTTGTTGATGTTCTGGTATATCCATCCAACATTTCCCTCATGAATGAATGAAGTTTATCTTATATTATCCTATCTCATCCTATCTTATCTTATCTATCTTTTATCATTTCTTATATTTTATCTTCTGTTTTATCTTATCTCTCCTTCTGCCTGTGTGAATATCGGTTTCTTTCTTCAAAACATTTTTTGGGTTGGTTTGGTTTTAAAACTTTAAAAAAAATTTGTTACTTTGGCAGGTGACCAGAAACAGGCCATCAATTTGTTGTTTGTGTCCCGAGCCGAGAAGAGAGTCCTCTTGTCCTTTGCTTTGCCAGTCCAGGTACAAAGCTCTAGTGGCACAGCCTGCTCTTTGAGTTCCAATCCAGAGTGGGGAGGTGGGGGTTGGGGGATTTTTATTGAGTATTTCAGTCTTTTTGCTGGGATTATGTATCCCTTTCAGCCCAGGTTGGCCCTGATAGACAGGGTGGAAAGCCTGTCTCCTAAATGATTTAAATTGTAGAAACACCTACATTACAAAAAACAAAACAGCTTGCTTTTCAAGTCCTGAAATTTTAACTTGTAAATGTTAACAGTAAACACTTTGGAGTCCTATTTTGATATTTCAAATCTAAAGTAAGGGGGGGGGGGGGGGGGGGAGTCCAAAGTAAATTAAAACTTTTTCTTCTTCATCTTCTTCAGTTAATATATTGCTGGACAACTTTTCAAATGTATTGGGCCTAACATTTAAATTTTTTAAAAATATATATATTTTTTAAATATATATATTTTATATTTTTTTTTACAAAATTGCAATTTCATAATCTTTTGTGCCAAGGACACAGCATTGGACTGAACCACGACTTAAATTCCCGAACTGGGGCAGTTTCATGACTACGGGTCCGGTAGCCTAACCACTAGACTTCCTACACTACATCCTCATGTGTTCGTATTTCTTTCAGGTGGGTGCGGAAACGTCCATCGTTGTCGACTGCGATGGCTCGTCCTTGCTAGACGTGGTGTGGCACAACCAGGACAGAGACGACACGTTCTCCACTCTCTGGATATCCTTTTGGCTCTGGTCATTATAAAGCTGTGTAAATACAGACAAAATTGTCTCAGGCGGTCACCCATTGCCGAGGAGAAAACTGGTTATCTAAGACAGGTTACATCTTGAACAGAGGCATTATGTTTTTTAAAAAAAAAGGAAGAGAGAAAGTGGGAAGTGGTCGTTTCACAGGTGTCTTAGATGGCCAGTAGAGCAGGTTAGACTGTGATGTCAGCCTCAGTTATCATGACAAGTCTGGTTGTGGCACTAAGGTGTCAATGTACTCAGTGTCTCACTTCTGTAGCTTGTAGGGGAAAAGGAGAAAAGGGTTGGCCATACTCAGATTCGATCATACATCTCTGGCCAAGACCATTTTATACTTGTAGGTGGTAGAAGTGTAGAAGTTGATTAGTGCTCCATGTGGTAATCTCTGTAAGGATGTTACTCGTGTACTGTAACTTTAACTTTAGAGGTACCTGTAGTTTTCATATCGTAGTGAGCAGGTGGTTGGAGGATGCCACTATTAAGTCCTACTTCTTTTCTGTCCCTCAGTTGTTCCAGTCTGTCCGTCTTTCTTTTTTCCAGAACTATACGAGTCTTATTGTGTTGATGTGCTTTTGTTTACTCACACTCAAACATCAGTGCTCCCCACCAGGCCAGTGCTACTAACTGAAGTGTCTTTAGGCCATTCCTAAAGGCGGACATATCTCGTTCAAGCATAGTAGAATTGTAAATGAGCTGACTCATGTCACGCTCATAACTGTGCCTGATCTACAACAGGGAACTGCTGCTTTTTCTTTCCTGATCCCTTACTGTTGTCATTTTCTTCGACTTCTTTTGTATGTTTGTGGGACCTGCAATTTTGGGGTGCCTTAGTAGTCGAAGCAGACCTTGTGCTGTTGAAGCTAGAGAGTTGGGCAGTCTAAGTCTGATTCCCTGTAAAGACTTCTCTGTTGACACCCACCCCTTGGCGCTCATATGACCTTATGCAGTTGCGAGCGCCGTAAAACCCTCTACTATAAAAAAAAAAGGGGGGGGGGGATATGAACATATTCTTATGCACAGTAGGATTGTAATTGGGCTGATTTATTAGTGTCATGCTCATACTGTGTCAGAACATCATAGGGAGAACTGCTGCTTTTTCTTTCCTCATCTTTACTCTCGTCATTTTTCCTCTACTTCTTTTTTATGTTTGTCACTCTCTTGTGAACTGCTATTTCCAGGGTGCCTTGATAGTCAAAGCAGACTTTGTGCTTTTGAGGGTAGAGAGGTGAGCAGGGCAAGCCTGATTCCCTGTTTAGACTTCTCTTTTTTTTTGGTTTTTGTAAAGTGTTTTACGGCGCTCGCAACTGCATAAGGTCATATGAGCGCGCAGGGCACACCTAATATTTTCAGTTGGTAGGAAATTTTGAATTTTGCCCGGATGGCGGCCGAAGCCTACTCTTATCGATTTTAGACCACCAAGGGATCTTTAATGTGCGCAACTTGCACACGGGCCCTCCGAGATTTTTTGCCCTTGTCCGAGAAGGCTAGGTGTAGATCTTTCCTACCAGAAGATCAGGGGTGTGGCTGAAAGACAGCAGTAAGAAGAAGCGAAGGAGTAGCAATAGAAAGGCTGCAGAAAGAATCAGGAGCCCAGAGGAAGGGGCAAAGGAGGTGAGGGGGTGGGGCAGAAAGAGGAGACGAAAGCAGACGACAGAACATTGCTAGAGAGCAAGAAATGAGGTGAAAGGAGACAAATTTAGAGAAGAATATTTTTCGGTCGCTACCCGGATTCAAACCCGGGACCTTTTGAATGAAAGGCCAACACCTTAACCTCTAGGCCACAAGAGCCCCTTAGACTTCTCTGTTGACATCCACCCCTTGGCGCTCATATGACCTGTAGAACCTTACTAAAACTAAAGCTTCTCTTTACTCAAACTCTAACATAAGCGGAAATAAATGGAAACCAGGAAAATAATTTTGTTAAAACCCTGTATCCCCCCCCCCTTTTTTTAACAATATTGCAGCTGTGTTATTAGTTATGTCCCTAACAATGAATGATAAAAAATGCTGGTGTATTGTCAAGCTTTTGGTCGGTGTGTAGATACATTGTGTACGGTGGTTGGCGGGTGCTCTGGTGTGGTTTGCTCATTCTTCCTTTCAAACATCTATTGTCCTTTCTCTCTTCGTTCTTTTCTTTGTACGAGTTAATGTGTTTACTCTCTTGTAAAACCTCTAATCTTCAGCACTTATATGATGTATTTGTGTTACAAGGGCTGTAAAACTCTCAATAAAACTAAAGAAACGATGTGTGTGCAGGAGAGGTGACTTTGTTTTTTTCCTTAACCACGTCACATCTCTGAGGGTGTCGACTTCCCTGATGCTGGAGCCTGTGCTGTGACTGTCAAGGTCATGAAGAGAGGGTCGGAGACCATGACATCGTCTGTGACCCTGGGAGAAACTGAGGACCATCAAGTGGCTTCACACTGTTCGGACTGCAAGACTAATAGTAGATTTAGGTAATAATAATGATAACAATGCCGATAATTTCTATAGCTCCCACTCCCATGTATATGTTTGTATATGTGTATGTACTTAAGTATGTATGTGCTTATAAATATGCATTTATGTATGTATGTATGAATGTATGTTTGTTAATGTAAACCAAATTGCCCATCTGTGATCAATAAAAATGTTACTTATTTTTAAAAAAATGTTTATACAATACAGCTGTAGGCGGTTTACAGTACCCTCATCTTAACACAAGGTACTTGTGCATGAACTTGCATGCATACAATCTTTAGAATAAGGCTGACAAGTAAGCAAGCATTCATACTATCACAGCACAGCACAAAGACAACGGGTGCTCTGGTGTGGTTTGCTCCTTCTTTCCTATCAAACATATTTTGTCCTTATGTCTCCTCTTTCTTTAACTCTTATTTTACTCTCTAGAAACATCTCTCATCTTTGGCACTTATAATGACCTATTTGTGTTGCAATTGCGGTAAAACTCTTATTAAAACTGAACTAAGTCTGGTGGCTTTTGCCACACTGTGACTTGACTAGGGACATTTTGTCTTTACTTATAATGTCTCCTGTCCAATTTTCTCTTTGTGAATTTTCTGGGGAAGATTTGGTTGAGCATAGAATAGAAAATAGACCCCCAGAACCCAACGCAGTGGGGCCAGCCTTGTAAATGAGGGAGTTGTTTTTAGCTGGTCATTTACCCATGCCCAGCCTGTGGGAACGCGCAGGATGGTCAGGGCATTTCAGGGGAAGTTCATATAAGTTACAAAACAGTTGTATGTTTATCTCCCATGCCACCGGGATTTTAGACCTATAAAAGTATTGTCTAGCATGCACATATGAAATTTTCAGTAAATCGTTTATGTACGAATTTTATTATGTGTGTGATTTAAATACAAAAATATGCATAAAAGGAAAAAAAATTGGTACCTATAAATTTAGTTACTGTGTGCATGGTTTGCTATGTATGTGTTCTGCCATGTACGTGTACTAGATGTATACATTTGGAAAGGTCTTTGAACTTTGGTTTGCATGTAAAGATATCATGGAAAGAAGTGCCACAAAAACATGTCTTTAAAGAAAGAGTGGGGAAGTTTGTCACTGTCAATCTGGGACGGGACCTGGTGGCGATCTAATCACTGACTGTGCTGGGGTTAGATTCTTTAGTAAGAGTTTTATGACACTTGCAACACATTTAAAAGGTCATGTAAGTGCCAAAGATTAGAGGTGGTACTAGAGAGTAACATACAAAGAAAAGAAAGTAGATGTGTTACTAAAGAGAAACTAACAAAAAAAAGGAGGTGGAGAGGTAAGGACGACAGATGGTTGATAGGAAAGGATTTATAAGAAAGAAGGAGCAAACCACTCCAGAGAGCCCACCAATCACCCTCCACTAGGGTTGGGTTGGGACTAAAACAAAATAATAAGATGTGTTGTCCCCCACATATTGCAGTGCGGATGGTTTTGAGGGTGCCACTGGTAGGTCCTACTTCTTTACTTTCCCACTTTTGTTTCTGTCTGTCCGTCTCACTTTTTCCCAGCTTTAAATATATGACTATTGCTGTGTCGATGTGTTTCTCTTTACTCAAACAAACAAACGAAACGTATTGCAGCCAAGAGCTGAGTGCGGTGAAGAGCGAGACCTTGCAGCAGGAGCTGGAGTCTGTGTCGCAGCTCATGGAGATGGAAACGGACAACAAGTGTGAGTAAGATAAGATAAGATAATACTTTATTGTCTCCGAGGGAATTTAATTTTATGTTGGCTGTACTGGACTGTAAAAACACAAGCAGGTATAGTGTATAGTGTTAACATAAAGATTCAATTATATATCACTCTCATTAAAATTTGAGTATGAAAGAAAAGTAAAGCTGACAAAATGTACATAATTTTATCGCATCAGATACATCATTCAACCAGGAATTTAATTACAAGGCATTTAGATTATAAGAGAGAGTAGATGCATGTGTTGTGTTGTGTCCTCAGTGAGTAGATGCGTGTCCCGTGTTCTCAGTTTATGGATGCGTGTCTTGTGTTCTTTGTGAGTAGATGATGCGTGTGTTGTTCTCAGTGAGTAGATGCGTATGCTGTGTTCTCAGTGAGTGGATGTGTGTCCCGTGTTCTCAGTGAGTACAGAGGAAACCTGATATAACAGGGATGGAGAGAGTAGAGAAAATGTCCTGTTATATCCGATCCCTGTTAAATCAGAAATGCAAGGAAAGTAAGCATTTGTGGACTAATATAGCTGTACTTATTCATGGGTAGTTTCCCTTGCCACAAGTACTCACAAACAGGGGTTTTGGCACTAACTTTCTCCTTGCCTCCTTAAACCACATCAGAAGAGCTTGGTCCACAGCATCTGCATCAGGTAGTCTCATCTTCTTTCGATCCAGAGCAAACTTTCCATTGGAGTATGCTGCCACTATCTTCTCTCTATCCTTGATAATGATGTGAATCGACCTTGTGGAATGTCGAACTGACGACAAATCTTTGCAAGTGGAGCTTGCTTTTTGTCAACAGCCTGGATTATTTCGTATTTTTTGTCAATTGAAAGGCATTTTCTCTTGCGCTTGACATCGTTGGCGACACATTACGCGTGCGTGTGGCTAGGTTTCGGGCTAGATCGAGGTCTGCAGCACACGGCAGCCCTCTCTTGCTTCACACGCTGCGTGTGCTTGCAGTGGCATGGCTTGCGTGGGCTTGCTCCACCACTGCGTTACTCTCTCTCTCTCTCTCTCTTTCTCTCTCTCTCTCTCTCTCTCTCTCTCTCTCTCTCTCTCTCTCTCTCTTACTTTTTTACACATTGTTAAGGAGCATTTGTCCCTGCTATAACCGGTTGGGCTCCGATGAGGCCATGTTATTGCCGATAACTTTTAATATATAGAAAGAGAAGGGAAAAAACGGGGATTTTAAAAATCCCTGTTATTACCGGATCCCTGTTATTACCGGGCCTGTTATATATGGTTTCCACTGTAGATGCGTTTGCTGTATTCTCAGTGAATGGATGCGTGTCTTGTGTTCTCAGTGAGTAGATGTGTGTGTTGTGTTGTGTCCTCAGTGAGTAAATGGGTGGGCTGTGTTCTCAGTGAGTAGATGATGTGCGTCCCGTGTTCTCAGTGAGTAGATGCGTGTACTGTGTCCTTTGTGAGTATGTGGTATTGTGTGTGGGTCAAGTAAGTGTTTATGTGTTTGCTGTTAAATGTCTCATTATGTGCATTTTCTGTCTTTTAATTTGTCACTTAAGTTGAGTCGTAATTCTGCCTTGTTCAGCGCTTCAAGTCGGCCAGTAATTAGGCACTATATACTATATATTCCCATTTATTATTATTACTCTTATTTTTATTATTACTATTATTATTATTATTTCTACAGTATAACGCAAATCAAACACAGAAGACCTGAAATCAGGCATCCGCCGAACTGTGCCTGCGGTCCTGTTTTTTGCCCTTCTGTATCTTTGTACGATATCCCTCGAACTACTGAGGCTTGGCCTAACGAATTCGAGCTATCTGTGTTATACTGTTTTATTATTATTATTGTTATTATTATTATTATTATTATTATTATTATTATTATTAATTATTAATGTCTTTATCTTTATGTTATTATTATTTTATTATTATTATTATCATCATCATCATAATTATCATCATCATTATTTATGTCATTATCATTTATTATTATTATTATTATTATTATTATTATTATTATTATTATTATTGTTATTATTATTATCATCATCATCATCTATTACTATTATGACTTATGACAGGGGCGGTGCTGACGGTGGTTCTACTAATGAAGGCTCTGGACCCGGTAAGGCACAAGGAAGACATCAGCAAGCACCTGGACACACTCATAGCTCTCGACTTGAAGCGGGTCAACTACTACAGGGATCTCAGTGAGATTTTCTCTTTTCTACTTCATTAGCATCGATTGGTGGTGGGTTTTTTTTGGGGGGAGGGGATTGTTTTTAAAAATAATTGTAGGCATTTTTACACCCCTATCCACACATTTAAATCATATGGGAGACAGCCTTCTGACTCTGCCTGTCAGGGCCAACCTGGGCTGATAGGGATACAACATCCCAGAAAAAAACCGGAGATACTTTCATTTTTAGCCTCGATCAAAAGAAAAACTGGAACTTTAGAATAAGCAAGTAAATTGGTAATGTTGACAGATAATATTGTGGGTGGTTGGTAGGTACGCTGGTGTGGTTTCCTCCTTCTTTCCTATCCTTATCTCTCCTGTTTCTTTCCTGTGTATGCTACTCTGAAGTTGTAACCCCTCTAATCTTAAGTACGTATATAACCTATTTGTGTTGCCAGTGCTGTAAAGTAGTAAAACCCTTTCTTTCTATCAAGGCGTTGTCTGTCCACTGCAGGATGTTGCCATCGAACAGCGACCTCTGCTCTGTTTTATCAGCTGATCTCTGTGTCCTAGCTCTGCCCGTCTGTCCGTGGGTGTAATCTTGCCACTTTGCTTCTGGTCTTCCTCTTGGTCTTTATCCTGTTCATAAAATTAGAAATTAAAGTAAAACACTTACTAAAACCTAACCTGAAACGATTAATTTCCTCTGCAGAAAGCAAGTTCTGCATCGAGAATGTCATCGAGGGAGAAGATTTTTCCAGACCAGGACGGGCCCTGAAGCTGAGCAGTTCCAACCTGACCAAATTGTACCATCCAGAGTTGCTTCCCCTTGTGGCTGATCTGGACCTGTCGTGTAATAGCCTGCACGAGGTGCGACACTTTGGCTACCTCCAGAGCCTGAAGAGGTTGAATCTTGGCGAGAACCGTCTGCAGACATGTGAAGGTCTCGGGGGTCTGCCTCGGCTAGAGCTTGTCTCATTGAAGAACAATGGTGAGGAGAGGGTGGTTGGTGGGTGCTGTGGTGTGGTTTGCCCTGTCTTTCCTATTAAACATCTATTGTCCTTATCTCTACCTCTTGTTTTCTTTGTTTGTTGCTCTCCAGTAACGCCTCCAATCTTCTGCACTTATACGACCTATTTTTGGGGGGCCGAAAGCTGTGTCCTTGGGAAAAGTACTTTACAGGTATTTTCCTAACCTCACCCAGGTGGGAATAGATACCTAGCTGTAGACAAGGGAAGGTCTTGAAGATTGTTAGTGTTTTCTCATGTGTAATCCTCAGCTTGCACTGTATGCTTAATAGGAAGCTGATAGTGTTTATGAATGTTCTTACTTACAGGGTGTGCTGGGGTAATGATAGTTGTAAAGGGCATAGAACATCTGTTGAGAGTAAATATACGCTATATAAATTTTATTATTATTATTATTATAAGACTCCCTCTTCCAGCACAGAGAAACCATGCAGGTGGTTGGCAAGTGCTCTGATGTGGTTTGCTCCTTCTTTCCTATCAAACATCTATCATCCATCTCTCTACTCCTTCTTTTCTTTGAATGTAACTCTCTAGTAACGCCTCCAATCTTCGGCATTTACATGACCTACTTGTGTTGCAAGTACTGTAAAACTCTTACTAAAAACTACAGTATAACACGGATAGCTCGAATTCGTCGGGACCGGCATCGGTAGCTCAAGGGATCCGTAGCTCGAGGGATACCTTACAAAGATAAAGAAGACGAAAATGCGGGACTGTAGGCGTAGTTAGACGGATGCATGATTTCGAGTCTTCTGTTTTGACCTATCCGTGATATTCAGTGTAAAGTTACCCAAATTCTCACTTTTGCCTTTTGCATCCTTGTTTCAGATATTGGCACGCTGGAAGGGCTACGGCCCCTGCTTCGTTGCCCAGTACTCAAGACTTTGGATGTTTCTGGGAACCCCGTGTGCAGCTCAACAGACTTTGTAGACAGTATTCAGAAAATGCTTCCAAATGTTCATGTGATTTGTAGCTGATCCCCGTCCAAGCGGTCCAAGCATGTGTTATCAGCATCATTCAAGGTCACTGCCTGTCTTGCTGACTAGTGGGATGTTATTAAAAAGTGTGTAAAGGGTTTTATTTACATTTTTAGTGGGCTATATTTGGGTTTTTAAAAATTATATGTGTGTGTGCGTGTGGGGGGAGGGGGATGTATGATTGAGTTTAATGATATGTGAGGCAGCATGGTGGAATCAGGCTCTCATCAAAATGAAGAAACTTGCATTTTTCGGCAGGTTCGTGAATTTTTATCAAATTTTCGTTTTTTGGCTGAACACCTTTCATACACATTAAAGAACTCATTTCTGTGTGGATTTTTCTGAAAAACAATTGAATTCCCCCCAAAAAATGTAAATTTTCAGTTACCATGGACTCTTAATGTTAGGAAATAACGAATTTTTGGTGGCCATTTTCTCACTAATTTTACCTCTAAAAACAGGTGACCCCCACCTCCTTTATTTGCAAATATCTCGACTTGTATTCAAGATAAATGGATATTTTTTTCATACAAATAAAGACAAGTGAACAAGCTTTAAGATGATACCAATAACTCTACATGCCTCAAAATTGACGAGAGCCTGATTCAACCACGCTGCCTCATATAAATGTAATGTACATTACAGTTTGGTATGGTAAGTTATTATTGTCTTTTATGTTTCGATGTGCCACCTTTCCCAACCACCGGTCATCTTTCACAACCTTGTGCAATTTGGTTTTCTGCTTGTCTATGAGGAAAGATGTTCCTTTCAAACCGCTGAATTACCCCTCAGGGCGGTGCTACTGACTGAAGTGTCTTTAGGCCATTCCCAAAGGGTGACATTAATATGTTCTTATGCTCAGTAGAATTGTTAATGGGCTGATTCACCAATGTCATGCTCATAACTGTGCCTGAACTGCAACGGGAACTGCTGCTTTTTCTTTCCTAATCCTTAATATCATCGTTTTTCCTCTACTTCTCCTGTATGTTTGTCACACTCTTGCGACCCGCTATTTCCAGGGTGCCTTGATAGTCAAAGCAGACTTTGTGCTGTTGAAGCTAAAGAGGTGAGCAGACTAAGCCTGATTCCCTGTACTGTAAGGAATTCTCTCTTGACATCCATCTTTTGGTGCTCTTATGACCTTATGCAGTTGCGAGCGCCGTAAAACCTCTACTAAAACTAAACTTTAAAAAAGAGCTGAATCCCTCCTCTACTGCTGTATTGACGTAGTACCCTGTACGCCCTGGACTTGCAGTATACTCACATCCTGACATGTCGCGGACACCATGGAAGTTGCTGGGTGCTCCGTTAGCTCAGCTGGTATCTCGCTGGATGACAGAGCGGACAGCTTGGGTCAGATTCTGTTTTAAAAAGGTGTGTTTGAGTTTGGTAAGAGTTTTACGGTGCTCACAGCTGCGTCTTATGAGCACACGGAACTTGAACATGTACCGGTTTTTATCATGGACACATCTTTGCTACTAGTTCTTCAACGCAGTGAGTGTGAGTGTAATAGATCAGCTGCCTTCTTTTTTTATGAGTTAAGGAGTATGTGAATACGCTTAGAACAAATGCATAGTATATTGGTCTGATGGAATGCAAGATGCGTCTTTTTTGTACATTTGTGGGAGAGGGGAGAAAGCCATGTATCGAATGAGTTTATGGAAGTTGAGCTTGTACTGAGAAATTTCATATGTGCTAAAATGAAAGAACAAACTTTTTTCATTTCCTATTACACTTTACAAGATGAGGATTCTGTTCCTTTCATATTCGCTGATGCAAGTTGTTGTTAAATGTGAATGAGATTTGATCTGTTATATTGTTTGCTCGCCTTTTGTTTGAGGTGGGACCCGGAAGTTTGGAGGTTCTATACTGACGAGCAAAAGAAAGTGGGCACCCTCTGTTCTGTGCATTATCTCCCTTCTTTGCTGTTGTAATGCCGTATTGCCAATGGATTTTGAAAGGCTTGCCATTTTCTCAATAAGTGCAGATAAAAAGACTAAGAAAAACGATCAAAACCACACCTTTTATTAGAAATTAATAACACCTATTCGAATGTTCAAAATCCCAGAATTATTAACAGGTGTATCTCCCACCAGCATTGATGACTACAGTGCATCTCTGCTTCATGGATTGCATAAGTCGTTGGATAAATTGCTGGGGAATATTATTCCAAGCATCAATAAGTGATTGCTGCAGTTGTGGGATTGTCATTGGGGGTGGCCAAAGTGTGCGAATTTCCTTTTCCATCTTGTTCCAGAGGTGCTGTATGGATTCCCATACCATAATGCTACGTTTGTCAGCAACAGCACTGATACACTGAGGTAAATAACGTTCATGACGTCTCCGGCAGACTTTCTGCCTTCCATCGCGGTGATCCAAAAGAAATCTGGACTCGTCAGAAAACATCACTCTGTTCCACTGGCGGTTTAGCCATCGCCGATGCAGACGTGTCAAGTTGAGTCTGGCATAACGGTGTCTTTGGAGGAGACGAGTGCGTCGAGCTGGGTGTCGGGCAACGATTCAGTGGGCTTTCACACGTCGACAAACGGTGAAGCGGCTGATTGGTTTATGCCCAGCCCAATCTCTGACAGTTTTAGAAGCTGTTTGAAACCAATCCTGCAAGTCTGGAACTCTGATCCGATTGTCTTCAACCACAGTAGAGACACGAGGACGACCAGACCTTGGAGTGTCACTAACCGAACCACTTGCTTGGAAGTGTATCCTTAGCTTCTGGATAGTATCTCTCTTCACATTGAAAGCTCTAGCTACAGCAGAAACCGTCGCATGAGCTCTCAGCATGCCAAGACCTTCATGACGTTGTGCTTCACAAAGACGAGGCATCGTATAAAACAAAATTGAAAAGAGCAAACCCAACAGTTCTGACGGCCTTTTCGTCGACACACGTTGAAGTGTGAAACGATAAAAGAATAAAAGTAAAGGCATAGTTAACTTTCAAGAAAAAACGAGAAAACATGTTTTTGGCCAAACGGGTTGTAAACACTTTTTATAACAACAAAATAAACAAATGTTGTTCTGACCGACTTTCTAAAGTGACACAAGCTCAGCATGTCAATTGCCAAGTCAAAATTCGCGAGACTACTCATACAGCACCAATTTGAAAACTGCCCACTTTTTTTGCTCGCCAGTATATTTATGCTGTAGATGTTTATGCCTTTTGAATTCACAACAATTTTATGGCATGTCATTTTATGTGCAACCCTTTGTTGGACATTGTCTTAGAAGATTTATTTCTCTTCTCACATGACTGCTACTGCTATGGATAATTTATTTAAAAATCTGATTTTGATAAAACAATTTTATTTTATAGAAAAATATTATTGCCTCCTGGCAACAATATTGTGACTGGTGATAACAGACGTAAAGACTTATTTTGACATGGGCCTTCTTTGTGCTTTTTTGACAATGTCACATTATGGCAGGAATATGTTCAGTAAAGGGTCGTGAAGTCAAACTTTACACACACACACATAAAAAAGGAAGATGTAACAATAAAATGGAATTTGTTGGCCTTACAAGGAAAGATGATAACAATAATAATAAATAGCATTTGTATAGCACATATCCCTGCTCAACAGCAAGCTCTGTGTGCTTTAAAATCCTGCTTGTGCAATCAGAAGAGTGTATATATATATTAATATATATACCGAAAGTCCAGATGGGTGTACACACATTCCATTTAATGTATCTAGTCTCATGTCATCGGCTTTTGAAAGAAAGGAGAGAATGAGCTTTATAGTTCAAAGAGATGGATGGTGGAATGCTGTCAGCAGATAATAGTTGTTGAATATGGAATGAAAAGAGAAGTATTTTTCTCTGTAGACACTTTTTAAAATGAACAAATGATTCCTAAGCTGTTTGTTACATGAGAGAGAGAGAGAGAGAGAGAGAGAGAGAGAGAGAGAGAGAGAGAGAGAGAGAGAGAGAGAGAGAGAGAGAGGGAGGGAGGAAGGGAGGGAGGGAGGGAGGGAGGGAGAAAGAGGGAGGGAGGGAGGGAGAAAGAGGGGGAGGGAGGGAGAAAGAGGGGGAGGGAGGGAGAGAGATATGTATTGACTGCTCAGTGTAAGACTCTTTCATAGGTCACTTTTCCAAATGAAGTGCGGTGGAGTCTTTAGTGCAAAGTTTGATTTGTGCTTACATAGGATGAGTGAATAATCTGTGTTAAAACGTGGCAATGTTCAGGAAAGTTTCAATTCCAAGGGAGAATGATGCAACCGTGTTTGACATGGGTAAAAAAGTAAAGTTGGACCTCCACCCATTTCAACCTGCTTGACCTTGACCTGGTGCATTATAATGCATATGGAAGGTGGCTGTGGAGGTCTTGTGGGGGGGGGGGGGGCAGTTATCTCGTTATGTCTGACACTTCCTAGATCATGAAACTGCCTGGTGTCATGGTCATACATGTGAAGACGCGGGCTGATGGGAGGGGGCCTAAACTTTACTTTTTATCCTGTTATGTTTCTTGTGTAAGCATTTGAACTGAACTTAATAAATCCAGTAACACTCATCATCTTTGTCTTTCATTGTTGTTATAATTAATAAATAGTATTTGTTTAGCGATTACCCCCAATCAACAGTAAGCTCTGTGCACTTTGGAATCTATATCATTATTACTATTATTATTACTCCAGCAGACGCTAGAATACTCAGAAACATTCTTGGCTTCCCGGGACGCATACAGTGGGAGCAGTTGACTCTGCGCTCAAACAGGAACAAACTGACGATATTTTTTTATAGGGCCGAAAGGGAGTGCTTATTTAGGCCACATATGGCCTAAATAAGGTAAATGAGGGGGGTTTAGCTAAATAAGGTAAGGGAGGGGGGGGGGGGGGGATTAGCTTATTTAGGCCACACATGCTCAAACTACCCTTTTCAGGCAACTGAGTTGGTTCCATTTTCATAATGGTGCACCTTTCTCATTTGGTACAGTTTTGTCTCAGTGTACTACTTATAAATCATAATCATAATGAATATTGTAAGAACAAAGCACAATACGCAAAATTTTGCTCAATCCCAATGGTTTGAATGAGGGCCAGATTTTTCCTTCATGGAGGGGCAAAAGCTAGGCTACCATTTTGGCTCACTTTGGTCAAGTGAAAAGGTCAAATCCTCCGAATGGACTTCCGGGTCAAATTTGGGGTATAAAAAGTGTGTAC